TTGAAGTTGGAGGAAGGCTCATTACACTGGAGGAAGACTTCAGATTTGAGCCAAAATGAAAGGGTAGTGGTGGTATAAGTGGCCATCGCCATAACCAACTTATGATGATTCCATGGGGTTTTCAAGGGAAGTGATTAAGCAGAGGTGGTTCGCCAGCGTCTTCCTCTGTCCTGGATAGCCCAGGCTAGCCTGATCTCATCAGATCTCACAAGTTAACCAGGGTTAGCTCTGGTTACTATTTGAATGGGAGATCACCAAGGAAGTTCAGGGTCATGACAAAGAGGCAGGCAATGGCAAACCAATTCAGAACATCTCTTGCCTTGAAAACCCAAGGGGTTACCATAAGTCAGCTGTGACTTGATGGCAAAAAAAAAAAAGGTGGGTCAAGTTTGCTCAGTAGCCCTGACCTGGATAGCCCAGGCAAGCCCGATCCTGTCAGATCTCAGAAGCAAAGCAGGGCCAACCCTGGCCAACTACTTGGGAGACCTCCAAGGAATACCAGGGCCAGAACGCAGAGGCAGGTAACATCAAACCACCTCTCTGAAATGTCCAAGCCCCACTAGGAGTCGCCAGAAATCACCATGAGTTACAGCAGTTCAGGCAAGACAGTGGAGCAAGGAGAGCAAAATTACAGCCAGGTTGCTCTTTTCCTGAGTGGCTGCAGTGGGAGTCTCTCTTCTCTGCAGCCAGACTGCTCTCCTCCTGACAGCCACCTGGGTGCTAGGATAAGTGTACAAAGGCTATGGAGAAGGGTGGGGGGTAGCTGGAAAAGATGTACCCTTTCCTTTCAACCCTAGCATGAAGACTGCAGCTTACTCATCCTCCAGTCCCTGCAGTGGCAGCTGTTTGAAGGTGGGAACCATCTGCCGGCCACAAACCCCACAAGGCAATGGCCTTGTTCACTCCCTTAGGACATGAGCAAGTGCCATGTCAGTGAAGAGTGCCCAGGAGAAGCAGAGGTCACTCCCAAGCCAGACCAAGTTATCACAAAGATCAATGATACTCATTCAGTGGTTTGGGAGCTACCTGTTGCTCTTTGGAGCACTGTTCCTCAATATGGCACCTATCCCATGTTTCAGGGAAGGTTCTTGCCCTGGTAGGGCTTGTGGTTGACAGGTGCTTCCCACCTTGAAGTGACCATCATCCAAACAGGTAAGCTACAAGGATCTCTGAGGTGCAGGTGTCATGTTGCAATTGAAGAAAATGTGGCTCTTGGTTTATGGTAATTGCAAATGTGGCTATCCACAAGCTGTGGCATGAGTACCACTGACCCAGAGTGATTATTCTTATGTGTGAGCATGTATATGAAGGGCCTTGCTGTGTCCAGGTTATGATTGGATGGCATATGACCTAGTAACTCTACTAAGCACATATGGATCTGATCAGTGTATGGATGGGAGACCTCCTAGAAACCTGTGTGTTGTCTCAAGTGCTATCGTGGAAAAATGGCAGGATAGAAATGCAGTAAGTTTCATAAACAGACTAAAGTATTCCCAGTGTGACTTGTCTACTGGAGAACTAGTATCTGCTTGCCGTCTAACCCTGTTTTGGCCAGATCATGAATTTATTACATAGAATATTTGAAACCATTTATTAATGCGTCTGCAGAATTCAATTCCTTCTAACTATTTTATGCATTTGCATTTCTACAATTATCATAGTAATTGTCTTTCAGCATAGCACCTGTTTTTTCAATGTGTATATGGTTTCTTACAATTTCTGTGTTCATTTGAAAGGACATATATTCCAAAGTACCAATGCTTCCCTAATGGATTTATCTTACCTTCAGAAAAAGACAAAAGTCACTAAAAACCTACCTCAAGGCCAATATGGAAATATTGGTATTATAGCAAGAGCCCCATTTGTTGTAAAACACTTTTTAAAACAGTTATGACATTGTCAAGGAAATAGGTCCCATTTCTAGCCCTGTGATTACCAGGTTCATATTATCACCAAATGACACTGATTTGAAAACAGGGTTTAAATAAAAGATCTGGCTAAAGACTTACATTTACAGTATAATGGCTGTTAAATTTTGAGTTTATGGGCTCCATACATTCCCCACTTCACTGATCTGCAATGCAAATTCTAAGCTTTTTCATCAAAGCTGTGGCAGCAAACTCACCCAGTGACCTAAAAATGTTGCACATCTGCTTAAAAAGGATTACCTAGAAGGCCGTCATAGGAATTGCCAGTCAGTGAAGAAAACAGAAGCAAGTTTTCAGCTGGCAAACCACCCCTCTGCTACGACTCCCTTTGTGTTGAAATTATCAGGAATTTCTTCCCTATTATTTGTACGTGAAACTCCCATACATTAATTACTGAGGGCAGGGTGATGGAGAGATCCACCTAATTTAATTTCCATACTTTCAGGGAGCACAGGGATTTACCAAACCAAATCCACTTTCTAGAATGTTAAGCATGAAACCCGTTTTGTTTCCAGTTACTGGAATTCTAGAAGTTCTTGCGTCGCAAGGAAACCCTTCAGGGAATCACTATGCCTTTTCTTAACTTCAGTGCAGACAGACACCCAGCCAGTAAACACAAAATTCCTGGTAGACAGCTACTGAAAGGGGTGAGGCGGGTTTTTCACACTGCAAGGTCAAGCTTTGATGACAAATGGTTGATTGGGGGGGGGGGGCTCAGCCACATTCCTTGTAGTTGCATTTCATCTCCAATGGCCTTCAACTCAGTTAGTATACCTATCACTTCTCCCTCCACTTTTCAGATTCTTTCCAGAAAAATGCTATTAGCCCTCGCTAAGTATATCAAAATCCCAAGGAAGCATGCAAAGATGTAGGCAGGAAGCTGTGGGCTTCTCTTGTCCAGTCTGTCCAGTGGGGGGGATGGGGTGAGATACAGAAAGCTCTCCATTAGCGGTTTTGCATTTCATGAGCATTTATTTTAAGGCTTATTTTCTACGAAGGGCATGCAAGACCAAAGAATAACCACAAAAGAAGAATTCTGGAACAATGACAACAAGAACAGCAGAGTTGTAGGGTTCAGTTCCAGCTGATTTTATTTCCTTCAGGAAAAAAAAGGTTATTTACAGAAAGTATATTGACAATCTGACAGGCAGTGAACTTGGCAACATTAGCCAGCTTTCCCTCCCCCCACCCCATGTTGTATTATGGGCAGATTGTTAGACAAAGATATTCCACACAGCATATTGCACAGGATGGATGACCAAAAAAAAAAAAAAAGTAAAAACCCTTAACGGAACCTCCTCATTAGGCAGATGTCCTAGCGCCTGTCATGTTATATTAACATACATAAACACACAATCTTTTTTTTTGCTTATTATAATACAGACTTAAATGTACAAAGATGTTTTCACTTTTTTCTCATCTTAAACACAACAGCTATAGACCTGAATACATATGCTATCATCATGCCATAAGAGACTAAAACAATTATATTTAGCGACAAGTAGAAAGGATTAAATAGTCAAATACAAGAATGAAAAACGCAGTACATAGTGTCGCGAACTCAAATCGGCATTTAGATAGATCCAGTGGTTTAAACGGCACGGGTTTTGCTTTTTTTCTTTTTTGCGTATAAAAAAGTGCAAAAGATGTGGTTTACAAGTTAAAGCTACAGGATCCCCTTTTTTCTGAAAATGATCCAGTTCTTTCTGTACAAGATACTATGGAGAGGGGTTTCTGTCTTTTAGAAATCAGCCCTACAGAAAATTAGTTCAGCCCCTCCCTCTCAACTCATACACAGAATTGAGCAGTGAATTAAAAAGGGATGCTGTCTCTTTAAGAAGCCTGCAGATTGGAGTGTAAACATGATGAAAATAGGCGCTGATTTTGTGTGTGAGAGAGATATTTAACTAGTGGCCCTGTTTAATCAGGAAATCCAAAACAGCAATTTACACCCCCTTTATATATTTTTTACAAAAATACACTGAGAAAATAATCAAACGTTTTCATCTCTCTTTTCTTGTTTTTTTTTAAAAGTGTCAAAAGTCTACATTTAAATATAAAAAATTAAAAGTTAAAACTCTAGCCCTTCAGTGAAGGTGACATAAAAATGGTGTGGGTAACAACAGAACTACCAAAAAGAGGACAAAGTAATACAAGTTCTTTTAAAAAAATGTTTGGCCAGTATAAATACTTCATTTATAAAATGGCATCCAATTACATTTACAAGGGGGGGGGACATTTCAAGGATGGTTCATGAGGGTGAAAAGAAAAGATTCTTCATTTGCAGCTATAAAAGAACTCTCACACATGCACGCACGCACACACATCGACACTGAGGAAAAATTTGGTCCTGAATATTTTTTTTAAAAGTCCAGCACAGATTTGAGTTGCGTTTGAATCCTTTAAAGAGTTAAGAATGAAAAAAGCTGGTGATATTTTTGTAGGAATCAAACATAGCGCCATCTATCTGCTTTTTATATTATTCTAACACTTTTTTTTTTAAACTGTTCAACAGTCTTAACAGAAAATCTCAGAAAGATAGACAGGATAACATGCTATATTAAACCCCACCAGTGAAATAATCCAACACCATCACGATTCTGAGTTAAGAAAAAAACAAAACACGTTTTCGCCCAAAAAATTGCCCTCCGTTTCCCCTGTACCACGTCATTACAGAAACTTGGTATGTTCTATACCGGATTCCATTTCTTTGTTTTAAAAAAAATAATAATAAAAGTTCAGTGTTGTTGAAATTCCACACCTAACTGACTCCTCTGTATATAAGGTGACTCAGAAAAATCGCGGCCACCTCGCCTTGATACGTGCAAATCCTTCTCGGGTTTATTATTATCTTCTCTTAACCGAGCTTCCAGTTCATCGGTGCGCACCCCCGCCCCCTTCTTTTTCTTCCAAAGCTCTCTTATCTGGATTCTCAGTCGAGTTTCTTACTGTCGATGTAGACGGAGGGGGGATGGTCGAGCGAGGGACACCCCCCCCCTTTC